TAATTATACATAAGTGGTATGCTGGGTCTGCTGCTTTCCAGTTGAAAACAGGAAAGAGATCTTAGGAACAAAGTGAAAGCAAGGCATTATGTATTAAGATTATTATCTTCATAGCCTGATTCAGAAATTTTGAATCTCCCTTGGCTCCTACTAGTATAGAAAATACCCACTTAGAGTCTACTGAAAAAAAAAAAATGAAGGCCCCAGGTTTGCTGCCTTTCAAAAAGGGAAGGAAGTGAGAAGACAGAAAACAAACTGTGTTTACAGTCACCTGTTCTCAGTGGCAGTAAGAAGTGTTTTGTGCCATTTTTTCTTTTTTTGTTCATTATTTTTAGGCTAGATTGCTAACTCATTGAACTATAAAACTGGCAGTTTTCACATAATAGCTGTCCCAATGTACAAATGGTGAAAATGAGCTTTGAAACACTGTTTTTTCAGGGTGATGATATGACTTGAACAAGCAAGTACATAATAGTTGCTAATCATAGACATTTTAATTACCAAAATGAAAATCAAGCCATATAAATATTTCTGTAAAAAGAAAAAGAGAAAATGTCCCTTGAAATAGCATACAAAAACCCAGGACTGCCACTTGGCCACGTGTGGTTTTCTTGGAGGCTCGAGAGTCTTATTTAAAAATAATATGCAACACACACAATAGGGCACCATATTTCAAGGGAAATAATTAAAGACAGCATCACACTTTCTAGTTAACAGCTCTCATTGAAGCAATGGGCAGCTCTGGAAAAAGTCTGCCACAGTGCACCCTGCAGAAAGATCAAATCAAAGTGATAAAGAATTCTATCAGAGGTTAGTGAACATGAGACACTTTTGAAATATAAAGTGCCCGAGCAGCTCAGCATGTGTACTTTCCACTCCTCCCCACCCCCGAGGTTTACCTTATTCCCACATTTCAACTTGCCTTTTCATCATATCCATCAGTCTCTTCCTTGTTGAGAAACAATTGTGTCCTAGAAATCTCTTGAACTCGTTTATACTCTTTCCTTTATTCTCATTTCCTTGTATCTTGATCTACAGTTTTATTATCTTTTATATGAGCCATGCTCCAATTTCCTATTTACTCCTATGCTGTTAATGGTGGAAAATGTTCTTCAGATTCAAAATCCGTGACCAACATGTATCAGTTTCTTTTATAAGCTGGAAAGCTAGAGTTTGATTCACCTCTTGAAATTTGAAGAATGGTCTGTAGTCACGCAGACACATTTTATGTTTTCATCAAATATTCATAACAATATCCAAAGCAGAAATGTTTTTTTTTCAAGTATATTCTCATAAACCTATCTTTCTAGCTGCATAATCAAATGTAGTTTGCTTATAAACAGTAAACTGCCAAACATACTCTTGCCTCTGTACACAGATTTTAGCCTTCAACTTAGCAACTAAAGAAGTAATAGAAAAGAGGCTATGAGCTGTATTCAATATTAGAAACTCAATACTTATTTTTTGGTAAGGTCTTTGCAAAAATAAGACACATACTTAAATATCATAACTTTTTTTTTTTTAAAGTTAATTTTGTTTGAATGAAAATTCTACTTGGTTCCAACATATAGAAAGATTTGTACTTGCAGATTAAAAGAAGTTAATTTTTCCACATTTAATATCTCTTCCATAACACATGTAAAATGACTTCAGTGATTGTAACAGCTGATGTCATAGCAAAACCATTGCTAGAACTAGCATTGTTTGGGAATTTCATCACAGCCAGAGCATTAAACACATTCACAGGGACAAGTTTATTCTGGAATTAGGCTTGAATCTTGATTAAGGCCTTTTGATGAAGTTATCTAGAGGTCATTGGCTATTGCAGTACCCTGCTGAAGCCCACAGCAGATCCCACAGTTAAGGACAGTACCAAAATTAGTCCTTTACCTATCTTGACTCTTCACTCTGATATAAACCAAAGCTTTACACATTTAAGCCAACTCCTTTACAAAGTCGAAGAATAACCTGCAATAGCAGCACACAATAACTGAGTTCTTGATTTTTAATCTAGAACATGACATGGGACAGCTAAATCCAGATGAAGGCTCTCATTAATTCTAGTGAGGTATCTCTAGTCTGTGTAAAGATGAGATCAAAGCTAAAGCCTGACTTCCGGAAGAGGAAGAGGAGGAGGAAGAGGAAAAGGAGGAGGAAGAGGAAGAGGAAGAGGAAGAGGAAGAGGAAGAGGAAGAGGA